CATACAGCCCACATCTGCTTTCCCTATGGTCTTCCCTATTTCTGTTTTTGCCAACTCCATTCTTCCATTGGCTAAGGCCAAAGAGCTTGGAGTCATCTTTGATTCTTTCTGTCTCTGAGAGTTTATGACCAATTCATGAGCAAATCGCCACTCTGTCTTAGAATCCAACCACTTCTCACTCTCATCTCTCCTGCTACCACCCTAGGCTACCTATAGTCTCATAATGGTCTCCTTGCTTGTCCCCTGGCCCCTCCAGTCTATTCTTCTTCTGCAATACTGGCTTCCATGTGGTTCCTCAAACACAGCAGGCACATTTTGCCTCAGAGTCTTTGCATTGGCAGTTCTTTCTGCCTAAAATTCGTCTTCCAGTTTTCCACAAGCCTCACTCCATGGCCACCTCGCCATGTGGGCTTCCTCATGGCATGGCTGCCTCAGGGTAGTCAGACTTCTTACACGAAAGTTCAGAGCTCCAGCTACATCACTGTTTGTGACTCAGCCTTGGAAATCACATGGTGTCACTTCTGCCCTTCTCTATTGATGGAAGCAGTCGCAAACCCAGATTCAAAGGGAGGGAAACTAGACTCCACCTCTTGATGGGGGAGTGGCATGGTCACATTGTAGAAGAAAATACAAGATGGGAAATATTATTGTGACCATATTTTCAAAATACAACCTGTTACAGTTCATTCTTTCCACCCCATTTTCAGTACCAAATTATATTCCAGATACCTTTTTTGCCTAATAAATGATCCTGAAACTTAGCTGCTTAAGACAATCATTTCATTTTTCTCATGGTTTTGTGGGTCAGGAATAGAGGATGGGCTCATCCAAGCAGTTCTCACCCAGGATCGCTCACCATGTTGCAGTCAGATGTTGGCTGAGGCTGTCATCACCTGATGGCTTCACTGGCAGGATGTCCAAGATGGCACAATCACACGGCTGGCAGTTGATCCTAGTGTCAGCTGGGAGTGCCAGTGGGCTGTAGTCGTGGTCTCTCCAGCAAGGACTTCTCAGACAGTCAGACTTCTTACGTGACATCTGGCTTCCTCCAGAGCACAACCCCAAGAGAACCAGGTGGAGACTGTGTGGCCCATTCTGACTTAGCCTCAGAAGTTACAAAGTGTCACTTTTGCTGCATTCTGTAGGTTGCAAGCTCTTCACTAAGATGGGCCCAGATTCAGGAGGAGGAAACATAGACCCCACCTCTGGATGAGAGGAGTGTCCAAGACTCTTCGGAAATGTTTTAAAACTGCCATACTCACCTCCTCCAAGTTTGCAAAAATGTCACCTTCTCAACGGACTGTCCTTTCCCACATACCACCCAACCACCACCCCAGCCCCAGCTTGCAATTCCTTTTCTCTGCTTTATTTTTCCTCCATAGTATGTGTCACCTTCTAACTTATCATTTAAATTATTTATTTATCATGTTTAGTACCTGTCACCCTCCTCCAGAATGTAAGTTCCATGAGAGCAGAGATTTTTGTCTATTTTATCCATTGCTGAAGCCCAGGCGTCTAGACCAGAGGTCAGCAAACTACCTCCTGGTGGGCTATACCTGGCCTGCTGCTTGTTTTTGTAAATAAAATTTTATTGGAACACAGCTATGTCCATTTATTTTGTATTGTCTATGGCTGCTTTTGCACCATAATGGCAGAGTTGAGCAGTTGCAACTGACACTGTATGGTTCATAAGGTCTAAAATATTTACTAGTTGGCCTTTTATAGAAAAATTTTGTTGACCTCTGAGCTAGAACAATGCCTAGCATGTAGTAATAGCTCAATAACTATTTGTTGAATGAATGAATGAATGAATGAATTCAACCAAATGCAACTTTTGCATTACCAAACAGAAGTCTGTTTTAGTTTGTAAGTCTAAACCCAGGTGGCGGGGGGCTGCACTAAAAGGCCTGTTTACATCGTTTTTCAAAAAAAAGGAAACATTTTGCCCAAAGGTGAATTGGAGTACCTATCCCTTACAAGATTGATGAACGGCTCACAAGTGTGAAATGACAAACCTCCACAGGCAGTTCCTTCCTGGGCTTCTACCAGGGGCTTGGTTTTAAACATTAAGAGGTTCCCAGAAGTCCTGCAGTATAGGACTTTGTCTTTGTTTTACCCTGCGTTTTCAAAATGTATTTGACCACAGAGCCCTAGGTGTTTCCTGAAACACCCTTGAACATCCCAGGGAAGTAACTGTCTTACGAAGAGGGTGACTACATAGTTATTGCCAAATTGGGACACCATTGAGAGTGAAGGGAGGTGCTATTTATAATCATGCTGGGACAACAGGGCTCACCTGGTGAATCAGGAAGTTTGGTTACCTTATTCTGTGGGTAATACTATTTTCTGTGATTATAATTCAAAACTGGAAAAAGTCTGAATCCATATCATCAAGAGCTTATTTTAAGTTTTCAAGGTTTTTAGTTAGGGGGAGTGTGTTGAACAGAAAAGTCAATAGTACAGTCATGGAGAAAAAATTTTGGAATAAATACATGTCAAAATGCAAGCCAAGCACTGAAGTCCAGATCCTTCTGCATTGTCCACAGGCAATTACTGAAAAGCAGTGTTCTTAGGGGAAGGCGACTCAATGAACTTGATGGAGCTGATCCTGCAATCAACTTTTGACTCCCTCTGTGGGTCTTACACTCAAATTTTCCAGAAGAAAAGACTAAAGATGATCAAGAAGAGGCTGCCTCTTTTGAGCTGAGCTGCCACATCAGACCACTAGCATGTACGGTATCCACTCCTGGCCTGCTGAGTTAGGGACCAAGATGGTGGGTTCCCTGGCAGAGAACATGGCTGCCTCATATAAGGAGAGGCCAACACAGTGTCTAAGGGTTTAAACTCTGTAATCAGACCAACCTGGGCTCAAAAATTTGTCTCTACCACTATTAGCTTTTGACCTTGGGTGAGTTACTTAACTTCCCTAAATCTCAGTTTGCTCATCTGCTTACTGGGGATAATTATGTGTCATGAGGCTGATACGAGGATAAAATTAAACCATGTGTGGAACACACTTAACACGGTGCCTGGCACATACAAAGCCCCTGAAGAATGGGGACAATTTCACCGAGAGTCTCAGTGGGGCTGTGGGCATGGTTGGCTTCCTGTGAGGAATATACTTCTCTCCTGCTGCTTATGAAGACTGTAAGGAGAAAGAGAAGCAGAGTTTTGGTGATTTTGAATCTGTTCTCTTTACCTGATGTGTACTCACATCGAAACACAAGAACATGCTGAGTTTGTTTGAACAAGTATAGTTTGACATACTCAGCTTTATCTACAAAGGAAATCCAAGTTAAACTGCTGAATAGTAGTGATTTTTAAACCTCCTTCCCTGTGATAGTGTGTTGGGTGGACAGAGGACTCCTCAGGAGTCCCTGGTTCTACCCTAACCTCCACCACGTAGCAGCTGTGTAAACTTGGTCAACTACTTAACTTCTCTGAGCCTCATTCTTCTCAACTATAAAGTGGGGATAATTAATCCTACCTACATCTGAGAGTTGCCGTGAGTTTTAAATATAATACTATATGGTTTTTTTGGATAGGGTCTGGCATATCATAGGTCCTCAATAAATATTAAGTTTGTCTTCCTCTTCTCTCCAAACTCCTTTTGGGTCCAAGTTTCAGACAAGGGTGTTGGACCAGATTAAAATCTCTCCCACCCTTAGTATTTCATAAAACTGTTCAGACTGTGGTTGGAGCAATGATTTCCCTTTGCCATCTCCTTCCCCCTCTTCCCATTTCCTTTCACAGTTTTTAACAGGAAGATGGAAATTACTTCTCTCCAACCTTGCAAACTGACTATTCATCCATCCAGCTCACTGTCTTATCTACACCTAATTTATAAAAGATAGCTAATGAGATGCCTTAGCCTAAACTTAATTAGGAAATCTATTTCTTTTCCTGTGTTATTTTACCCAAACAACTCCCCTCGTTCTCCATTTGTAATGTTGGGGCCATGGCTCCTGACTGGACACCACTAGCTAAGTCCTGTGAGGTAGAAAGGTGTTTCTGGTTAAATGCTTGGAACAGGGCAGAGAGTAAAGGATGGTGTGGCCAGAGATAAGGAATGGAGCCCAGTCACAGGCTGCAAAACCTCGGGTACTCTGGCTCTTCTCGCTTGTGCCACAGTAGACATTATTAATAAATGCATTTTGTTCTATTGAGTCCAGCCTCAGAGTGCTTTGCAACTTATAAACAGGAAAAATAAATAGAAATTGAGCTGAGAGTGGGGCAAAAGTTAAGGGTGGGAGTTCATTCATTAATACACAGTTTTTGAGCACTGATTTTAAGCAGGCACCTGTGTTAAGAAGTGAGGGGGGGCCAGCCCCATGGCTTAGAGGTTAAGTGCATGCGCTCGGCTACTGGTGGCCCGGTTCGGATCCCTGCGTGCGCACACGCACCACTTCTCCTGCCATGCTGAGGCCACCTCTCACATACAGCAACTAGAAGGATGTGCAACTATGACATGCAACTATCTACTGGGGTTTTGGGGGGGAAAAAAAAAAGGAGGAGGATTGGCAAGAGATGTTAGCTCAGAGCCGGTCTTCCTCAGCAAAAAGAGGAGGATTAGCATGGATGTTAGCTCAGGGCTGATCTTCCTCACAAAAAAAAAAAAAAGGAAGTGAGGGGGATCAAAAGGTGGGACATTAGGCCCAGTAATATGTAGCCCACTATATCAAAAACGTTATCATTTCAATATGTAATCAATATAAAAATATTAAGGAGCTATTTTACATTCTTTTTTCATACTAAGTCTTTGGAATTCAGGTGTGTTTTTCAGTTACAGCACATGCACAATTCAACTCAAACCAAACACCTTTCAAATTCTCATGGACAGCGCCGCTCTGGAGATCCGGGACCAATGATTTGTGGGCACCGACGCCCGCTGGGATTGCAAGAGTTAACCTGCGGCCCGCTCTGGGGGAATGATCACGAAGAGCTGTAAACCACAGCTTTGCAAAACTCCCTACTTACTGGGAGTGGTAGTCGGTGCCTGTCTGCCCGTGTGGTCCGATGGGAGTTGTAGGCCTCAGCCTCGGAGCGTGCTGGGAGTTGTAGTCCGCGCCCGCCTCAGGCGGGTTTGCGTGTCATGGCCGCCCACGCCGCGCTCCAGTACTCTTCCGCTTGGCCCCAGAAAGTTTCGGTTCTGCCCAGACGTGGACCCACAAGCGCGTAAGTGCCACCGGAGGGCCGGCCAGACTTTGGGGTCGCCTGTTCCGCTGTGGCCCCGGAGCAGAGAACTTCCCCCCGGGCGCGGCTTGTCACCTGTTGCCCTTACGGTCCCCGCCCATCCCCGGTCTCCCATAGACCCCGCCCGTGCCCCTTGCCGTTGCCCAGCGGGCCTGGAAAGCACGTCGAGGCAGTAAAGCTGACCTTGGAACCCAGGCTGCGTCTGGTGATCAGTTAGAAAGACAGGCCCCCAAACACCAGTTCCAAGACCCCCAACGGCCGAGGGGCCGCAAAGGAGCCCACCATGTGGGGTCTCAGAGAAGCCTGGGAATATTTAGGCACAGGAGGACAGGTCCCAGAGTTTCTGCTTGCGTTGTCCGAGAGGCCGCAGACCTTACGGAGTGTAGTTCCTGCCTCAGCTGGGCCGGGACAGCCCAGACCTTCGCTTGGCAAGACTCCACTGATGCCTGGGTCTTTCCTCTCCTCCCATAAGGGGACGGTTTGTTCATCCCGGGCAGTCCTCAGGCCACGGCCCATTCTCATTAGCCACTGCCCCTTGTGCCCAGGTACAGGGTCTCGAGATAGCCTCCAGGTGATCTTTCTTGAAACACCTGTGGATTTGTGGATTACCTCTAGTATGCCTGCCCTGGACTTGGGCTAGAGTCCATGCTATTCAAAACTTAAGCTGGGGGTCTGGGGGAGGCCTGAATTTTTTTTTTTTTTTTTACATAAGAAAAGCACATGTGGTTGACACGTTAACCACATGGCTCCCTGTTAATGCACATGTGTCCTCTGACGCCCCTTGTCTCTCTTCGCGGTTCCCACTGGCTGCCCCCTCCAGAAAAAAAATAGAGCACTTGTTGAAACTGCCTGTTTTGGCCACAACTCCTCTGCCCCTGTGCTTGTCTTACCACAGCAGTTTCTTTTCCCAACAGAGAAATGGGTCAGGGGCTCTTTGAGGGCAGAGGATCAGGCCTTAATCTGCTCACTGCCCTCCTGTGAGTGAGAGCCTTGTGGCATCCTGTGTAGCAAGCTTAACGCCCCTACCATCTGCCAGGCGCGGCTGCCGACTGTTGCAGCCGGGGAAGAGCTGTCACACTGAGGTTTTCTGCTTTCAGTGGCTCCCACCTTCTGAAGTGGACCCATGTTGAGTGGGCTCCACTTGACCCTCCATTCTGTGAAAACCACTGTTCCTAAATTATTGAATGCCCTGTACCAGTTGTGGGCCATTGTTATCATCACCCTGGAAATCAGAGTGAATTGTCTCAGTGATGGGGCATAGCCTTCTTTGATTAAAAGGATCTGAAAAAACTTTTGCTTTAGGAAACAGGTTTTCTGCTTCTATTAAAAGTGTTCATCTTTGTGTAGTGCTTCATTTAGGTTTTAAACTGTTTTCAATATTTTATTAGGAAAATAGTTAAATATGCAGAATCATTGAAAGAATTGTATAGTGAACATGTACCCACCTGTTAGATTCTATGATTAATATTTCACTTTGATTATTTTTGGAGTTGCTTTAGAGTCCATCTTCTGACTATTCCTTGGATGGTCTTGCTCCTCGTGGCTGGGTTTGGGACACCAGCCCATGCTTTTAGCCTGGTCCTTTCAGGGCTGGATGGCCCCCACAGATGTTTGTGATGAGAAGAACCACCCAAAACAGAGCAAGATCAGAGCAGCTGGTGACTTTGAGCCGTGTTGGTCACCGAGGCCATGAGCTGCTGCCTCCAGAACACAGAATAGGCACTCAATAGAATAGACAGCCGCCCTCTTCCCTTTAGGGGAGAGGCTTGGCTGATGGGTAACTTGTGTTTTCTGATGATTCCAAGGACAACTTTGGTGACTCAAGACTAGAATGTCTTTAAACGTTAGGCAGAGGAAGTGTGTTGTCTGGCTGTGGTCTCATGGTGAAAATCACTGGTAGGAATTCAGAGTTTGGAGCCAAATTCACTGGAGCAGCCCTGGGCAGTAGAGCAGGTAAGGTTCATTAACTGGTGCCCCGTAACCAGCCAGAGGCCGCCTCTGAGCAGAGATGAGTTGAGTTTGACCTTTGCAACATCTGCTCACCTACTGGCTGGAAAAGCATGGTCTTGCTCAAAGGATAAACAATATTTTCTATTTGTGATCTCAGTGCCAGTTTTTGGTTTTTTTGAAAGCGTTTTTTTAAAAAAAGTTGATTGATATAAGAACCTCTGTTTGAACAACTAAATAAATCAGTAGGGTGGCTGTTGAAATGTTTCCATGGGTCTGTGTTTATCTTCTTGCTATTTTTAGATGTGTCACTGTACCGTCCCCATAACAGAGCTTCAACCTCAGAGCATATGGGCTCCATGGCTTTTAGACGATAAGGATGACAGAGCTGTGCTCAGTTGGGCAGGAGGCGTTTTTCCCCTCTTCCTCATATTGGAGCCAGTTGGCCTGATGGTTTAGTGACCACCAGTGGTCCTTCTTGTTCACACAGGTCTCTGTGGCATTTGAAAAACACCAAGTGCCTATTTCTGGTTAGGCCAGATCCTGTTTTGAGGGATGAGGCTGTGTACATCAGTGTGGTTCTGAGGGCAGACTTAAGGAGAATCTGTGGTCTGGTTATGGTGCTGTGGCCCTGTGGCTGGTTCCCAGGCACAAGGGCAGGTCTGGCCAACTACTTCAGGAGCCTGGGGTACTGCACCCACCGACTGGGGCAGAAAATCGAGTTGGGGGAGCCCTTGGAATCCAGAAGAGAAACCTGAAGTGAAAAAGCATTCCAAGCCAGCCAATAGTGTGCAGAGGGCTGGGCCAAGAGAAGATCCCTGTAAGAGGTCCAGGATGGACAGCTGAACCAGAGGAGATGGTTTAGCCTGGAGCTGGAAGGTATTTCCTCAAGCTGAACCTGTAGCCCCAGTGCTTTTTCCAGGGCATCTGCAGCCTTGGTCAGGAGCAGGATGGGGGCACTTAGAAGCCTCAGCCAAAGTTAGTCGTTGAGAATGTCTTTTCTTCCCCTTCCTTACCTCCTCCATGAAACAAAGTAAAGGGTATCCTCCCCACATGGCACCTGAAAAAAAAATACAAGGTAGGAAGAGGTCAAATGACTTCCCCGGGACAGATAGATTTGCTGAAATTGCCTGAAAATAGTATAGTGAGCTAAACACACCATAGGTCTCACCCAATCATGGCATGATAGGTAATGGAAATTTCACATAACTAGTCTGATTCCAAAATCCAGATAGGGTCTACATTGGCAGGACTCAGCTACAGTTGATAAAAGAGAAGACAGTTATCTTGCCCGTTGCCACAACTCCAGCTCCCAGCCATCCTGGGTCTTGTTTGCCGCTCCTATCTGCCGGTGTAGCCCCACCCCCTGCCCCATCTGAACTGAGATTGCTGCTCTTTCACCCAAAGAGCACAGCAGAACTCAGGTCCTTCAATACTGCCCACCCTTGCGGTGTTCCTATTTGATGGTTCCAGATCCAAGCTTCCAAGAATGGAGAGAGGAATGGGCCTTGGGGAGGGTTGGGTGAGTGGGGAGGTGGTGGTAGTGGCAGTGGTTAGCATAGCCCTGAATGAGTAAGGCTGCCTTGCGGGTCGGAGCTGTGGTGCACACTTTCCCCTGTGGACACCCTTAATCCATCCAATCCCTAAATTACATTATTCCACTTTCTGAATAATAACTCCGTAATGTTTTCACAATAATGACGATATAAGTTCGCAGTTACAGCTCAATCTTAAATGCATTATTTTAGCCAACATGAAAGTAATTTATGCTCAATAAAGGAAAATTTAAATAGAATTTTTTGAAAATTTACTCATGTTTCCCACCGTTGAAGGATAATTATTGTTATTTACCTGTTGGTACATTTCTATGCCTAAAGTTTAGTTTGGTTTGTGGAGCAAGACGGAGGTTCTTGGTTTTGTCTCATTCATTCGTTCATTCAACAAGTAACTTATTGAGGGCTCTTCATGTGTCAGAACTATGCCAGGTGCTGGGGAAGTAATGAACAGCAATGGTACTTACAGAGAAGTGGGCAAGAGAGATTAAACAAGAAATTACTGTACTGGTGATCTGCCACAACAGCAAAAGAAAGGAGAGCCCCCTCTGCAGTGGGGGCTTAGAATCATGAGCAGAGTACAGTTTGGTGCCTCGTGTGTTCACCTGTTTTCATCAAAGTGCTTCTCAGGCCTCAAGTGATCTCTGTTACTTGTCTGTAAGCTTATTGGAGTGATGCTGTCTGTTTCTCCCCCCTGGAGGGTGAGTTCCTTGAAGGCGGGGGGCCCACAGGCCTTCTTCACAGCTGTAGCCCCAGCTCCTGCATCAGGCCTGCCTCTTAATAGTGGTGCTTACCTGGAAGACAGTTTGTTAATACATACAGTTAACACATTGTCTTCCTCAAGGCCATGTTTAGTGGCTGCAGCATCTTCTACCAGAGATCCAGTTCATAATTCATCATTGGTTGGACTGATGATTTTGGAGCTCTGTAATTTTCCCCACCTGCGTGGGGTTTGTGCCATTTGGGGTAGGAATAGGTGCACCAGTTGAGTTCTCAACTGTTTGTGCAGCTGTTCCAGAGACTGCCCAGATTTTCACATATGCCGTTGTCACCTCCTGGATGTTTTCTCTGGGCTTTCCAATGGCAGAACCTTAGCCCTGCAACCCCACCTTCCTAAAAAAGACAGTCAGCTTCCCCTAGGCCTGGAAGCAATACCTCACGTCCACGGGTCCCCTCTTGACCCTGCTGTCCTGGGTCAGTGGGCTGGAATCAGGGCCAGTTTGGTGTGTGTTCCAGGGGAGTGACCAAGAAACCTGGAATTGTTGGTGGGAGGGAGGGGGCCAAGAGAAGATTCAAGAAGTGATGGCAAAGTCGCAAGTCCTCCTTCCCTTTAAGAAAGAGAGAAGATTGCAAGCACAAAGGAGTGTTTGGGAAAGATGACCCAGGCATGCAGTTGGTCAACACTTTAATTGTAGGTCTAAGGGTTGGGTCGCCTGATGAGTCTGTGCTCACGTGTGCTGAAATGTCTGCCTCTGAGCTGGC